ATATAGTAAATAAAAGAAATATATAAGATATATGACATAGAAGACATATATGACATATTAGTCACTGCAGTCATATTTGTCATCTGAGTCATCCATGTCATCTTTGTGTAATAATATTCATCTTTAATTAAATTATTATTCTTTAAGGAATTATACAAATTATTCAATAAAAATGATGTTCTAATTGAATAATACAAAATCATCCAATTGGTTAGAACAATTATAAATAAATTTCAGATTAATTGAAATTTTTATTATAAAATGATAAACTTTTAGATTAATCTGAAATTTTTTTTCTTTTTTTTAACATTTTTCCTTTCTTTTTCTGTATTTTTTCTTATATTGAAGATTTTTATATTTTTTTTTTGTTTTTTTTTTAGAAAAATTCTTATTTCAGAAATATGATAAGTCATTTTTTAAGTAAAAATTTACTATTTTTTTTTTTTTTAAGAAAAATTCTTATTTTAGAAATAATTAAATTGAAACAAGTTTTGAGTGGATTTTTCTTTCATTTTCTTATTTTTTAGAAAATTTTTTATATAAAAAGTGACTTTTTAGATGGATTTTCCTTTCTTTTTCTTGTTTTTATAGGAAAATTCTCATTTGGAAATAAGATAACAGTTATGGGACATGTCCCTTCAGATGATTTTAATAGTAAATCGATTTTGTTTAATGTACACTGCTATGACTTTCTTGTAAAAATGCTTTGATTAGCTTATAATAAATAACATTTTAACCTTAGACAGGTTTTTATTTTTGAAGTCTTGTATTGTCATTCTATATTAGAATTATATGTATCGCTTAGTTTTATTCCAAGTAAAATTTGACTTGAAAAATGCCATTTTTTAGCATATATATTGAGATTCTTTTTCAAATACTTCAGATTAAGTCAGCTTCTTTTTGTTAAAGACATTAAATAAAAAATACTACAAAATATATTATTGTTGTAAAGATATTTTATCCGTGACTTTTAGATGTTTGATTAGAGACATTCTTTAATAAGATAGGATAAGGATTTCAATTAAAAAATTTTCTCTTTCTTTAGGTTTCTAGAGTTAGAAAAGATCAAGGTAAAAATCCAGGATCTTAATTATGAAAAGTTCTATTTTCAGACATCTCGAATTCTGAGTTTTATAAAGATAAAATAATGGTTTGGTGAAATTTTTTTTCAAAATCCAAATGTTTTTTCCAGTGAATTTTTAAGTCTGAAATTATCTAAATTCTAATTTTTGTAAATTAAAATAGAACACTAAACGGAAAGTCAGATGATATTGGGATATAGTATGAAAAAACCTTAAATGCATGAGATTGTATCACTGCTTTAACTTTATTTTTACTAATTGTATTTTATACATTATGTATTATTAATAAAAACTACCTTGCATCAGTTATTCCTCCAATACTATTTGACTCTTTTGGCTGTCCAGTTTGATGAAACAGTTTGAATTTCAGATAACACTTTTGAGATTGTGATTTCAGGTAATTCTTTTTCAAATTCAAATAATTGAACAAGTATAGCTTTCTCCGCATCTGTAGTAATACAACGTATCTTTTTTAGATGATCAGTTTTAGAAGATAGTGACTCCTGTTGTAATTCTAATGAAGTATGCTGTTGAACAGTTGATACTTGTGTATGGTTACTTACTTGGCTATCTTTTTGTTTCTTCATATTTTCAAGTTGAGTGTAAGTATAATGATTTATGTCTTGTGAATGACGTCTAGTAACTACTTGGGTTTTAGTTTTGTATATATTCTGCAAAAGAACTTGCTCAAAGTGTGATTTGTCAGATTCATAAAAGGAGAGAATATTATTAATACCCTTCTTATTGATTTCTGGAACATTTTCAAACAGATAGTATGTTGCGAAATTTGAATGATCAAAAGCAAATGATAACTTTACAACTAAGTCTCAGAGTGAATTTTTGCATGACTTGATCGCACGAGAATTCTGATTTGTTATAATATTATCAGTATATTCTGCAAGAAGTAAAGATAAGCGATTCCTTTCATTTTGGGCCGCTTTAACCTTTAACATCATGGTCTGCTGTTTAGTAAGATTTCCGGTAATATTTTCCTTTATGAACTTTACCCCATATGTTTCAAGCGCTTTATCAAAGGTAGGGTATCCAGGATGGGTTAGCGTGATGATATAAATTTCGTGCGTGATTTTATCGCAAAAATCGCGATTATAATTCTGACTGAAATCAACATAATTTCAGAGTAAAAACCTAAAGGAATCTGTGGATCAAAATTTTGATCATTTGATCAACTAAATCACCCAATCAAATTTAAATGTCGTCAACACAAAACCAAGCATACTGTTTGTAACAGTTTCTGAAACTGTGGGTCATTATGAACTTGATTCAAAAAGTGTGTTACAGAACTTACATACTTAAACTTTCCAGCTGCAGAGAAAAGAGGTGCAAATGCAGCCAAATTTAACATTTATATCCTATAATTTCCTCTCCTAATTCCAATTTTATGACTTATGAAGTATCCTGTCCAACAGAAAAAAAGGTACCATATCTTTATAAATTGATTATTACCTCCTAGAATATCATCCATGGTTTTCTTTTTGCTTTTTGTATGCTGATACAATGCAATTCTAACTGTAATTCAGATTAATTTTAATACACGATATGTCACCCGGTAATCAATAATACGTTCAAGTTTATCTAAATATCGTACACCAAGGGTTGCTATAAGGTTGAATATTCCATATCTTGAGAATATTGCAATTAAAGTGCTGCACATAGTGTTCCGCACGGATCGGATCGGATCGGATTTGGGCAAAATCCGATTTGATCTGAATCCGAAAAATCCGAATCCGATTCGATCCGAATCCGACAAATCCGAATC